ATGCACGTTAGGCAGAAAGTCAGAAGTTTTCTCAAGCTCCATGCTTCATGAGGTAAAATCAGAAAGCAATTTTTATACAGTATACAGCAGAGCTCAAGAAGCCTATCTCTAAAAGTCTCTCAGAAGAATGCAAGCTAGGTCACTGTTGTAGTCATGAAATTCACAGGACAGACTTCTGGCCCACCAAAACCTGCTTGAGTTTATGGTTAGACCTCCACTGATATCTACGATAAGGGGCTGAGAACTCCGGATGCTTTTCTTTTTCATACAGAGTAAAATAGAAGTCTCAGAAGTTAATTGATACTGATATAATCATTTAGAGTAGCAGGAGGATCTGCATGAAACTGGTCAGGGACCAGCGTTAGCCAGAGAAACAAGCAAGCCAGCTAATACTTTGTGAAGCGACTTAGCAAGAATTCTCTCTTCTGTGGCTTCCTGTGGATTCACCATGTACAGTGTACATACTTTTCATTCATTTTTGAGAGCTGACTCTATAGTAACCTGACAAAACTTTGGGTAAATGAACAATGTTTCAACCTCATTTGTTAAAATCAAAACAAAACCATTAACTGGCCTCAAGTAGATTAGTCAGGTGACTATGGAGTTGTATCAATTGATACATTTTGAAAAAAATATTTCATACATGGAATACAAGAACCTGGGTTGCATTTATATTTATTTGATCACTATAAAATGCTATGTTAAAGGGTCTACTTTGCTAGATATACTTGCAGAAAATTTATATAAATCTAAAATCACCCAACGTTGCCAGTAATGAATACATATTTTTTACTAACATGGATATTCCAAAACTAATATCAAATAATAAATACCGAATGCTATTGTTATTACTGATATCATAAAGCTATGTATTCTGTCTAAGGAATTTAATATGTGGGACACTGCTCATATTAACCTCAAGATATTTGGTGTAAACATTGAACACATCCTGCAAATAGCCAACACATCTATGTGATAAAATTTTATATGAGAAAAATTGTATTTTTTTCTCTTCTTTCACAAATGGTAGTATTGGAATTCACAGAAATGATTCCTGGTTTGAAAATATTACAGTGTCGGGATAGCTATAATTAAATTTCTTTAGCTGAATTACATTCAGATCTCTTTGTTAGGACAACGTAGCTTACCATAAAATATATAAACTAATGAAGGGATAAAATATAGCGTTATTGTAAAGCTGACTGGATATTAGAGTTAGTAAAAGGACTTAGTGTGCTGGTGGTTTTCCCCCATTTATCTATTCAAGAAAATGAATAATAATAACATTTCAATTCACAAAGGCAACTGCGAAATGAGCGTGTTGGGTTAGGGTTAGAGATAGACAGTAACAGATGCTAAGCGACTAGTGTTTGGTAGCACTCTCCTCAACAATCTTTATGAAGGGAACAGAGCTGGGTGCTCCTAACCTTTAGCTTGCTACTCAGAGACACGGTCTGGACATTTCAGTATTGCTTTTAACAGATTGTGAATTATTAAAGCTTATTTTGTACACAATATTTTATTTTACCTCTCACCAGTCTATTTCAGGCTCCATCATAACAGCCATTCACAGAATTCAACTTAGGATGTAAAAAAAAGTATTTAGGAAGTCCAAAGTTGATTTACAGGTGAAGCTACTGTTAGACTTTTGGAGACTCTAAGCTAGGAGGATGGCCTCTCTCTTTTCACCTACAAACCAGATGATTTAAGCTGCTTCATAACTTAGTTCAACTTTCTGGGCTAACCCAAGCCAGCTGACCATTGACCAGCTATATTTGCCCTGTGATTTCTCGACATGAATCTGTCATAGCACACTGCAATGACACAAGGCAAACACAGCAAGGCAAGAACAGCTAGTCATGTCTCCTATGCTCTGAAATTCAACTCACTGTCTCTTCCCTCTTCAACACACTAGCTTTCTTCACTCTATCTTCCTGCCCTTCTTCACGACCCTCCCCACTTCCTGGTGCCCGGGAAGGTCAAAACTGAGGAGTTTCTCCAAAACTCCCTTCCCACAGCAAGTCTGCTCTGCCTTATGAGAGTGTCAAGCAGCAAGCAGGCTGGAAAAGGGATTCTGAGAACACAAAGCTGCTTGCACATGTCAAGAGAACTGTGAGGGAGATCTTGAAGAGCTCCATGCAACTGTTATGTTGTGATTTATTAGTGGTACAGCTGTGTGAAGCTTACAGAACAAAACTGGAAACTGGATGAATCATAATGGGTATAGGATTTTATTCTTTATATGAAAGTGTAACTAAAGGTCTCTGGAAGGTTTCCGTAACCTTTCTGTCACTCTGAGCCTAGACAGAGACCATTCCATCCATTTAGAACTGCTTTCTTTAAATGTCCTAGAGGTGATATAGTTCATTTTCTTTTAATGGGCACTGCTTACCTCTCCAGTTTCACTCTTTGAGGACAGGCTATGTAAACGTTCTCCCTTCAAATCCCCATGATTATTCATTTTCCCTCCCTCTCGTCATATGGCTTCCTAGCTCTGACTGGACCTGGGTAGCTCAAGAAAGGACCTAAACTACAAGATAGAGGTAAGAAAATAAATCCAATTCAGAAGAAAAACAGCTTGAAGGTTTTTAGCAAATAATGGACTAAAAAAGCTTAAAATTCTTAGGATGCATGTCCCTGAATATTCCATCCTTGACTATTTTCATAAATATCAATGCTTCTCATTCCTAGGATTACATCCTCTCTATAATATCTCCTCTGGTACTGGATGACTTGTACCATGATTTCATAAGGAAGAATGTCAATTAAATAAGGTCAGGGTAGATTGAATTGACTTAATATTATGAGATAATTCTCAGCCATCATCTGTAGCTCGAGTTTCTTTTTTGGCTAAGAATTAAGTGTGTGCATTTGAGTAGATGAGTATGGAGGTGCAGAAAGAGGGAAGATAAAGCACAAAAGTGACAGATCAGCTAAGGGGTTTTATATATTAAGAGAAACAGTGGTACTTCTGTTCTTGAAGCATCATTCTGGGGTTAAGATTTGCTATTTGTGGGGGAAAAAAACAATAAGCTTTTACTTCTTCCTCCTGCATCTCAGTCAAAAGCAATTTGGAATATTTTAGCAGTTTCTATAGCCTTCCATTGACTCTACTTGCAACATAACCTTAATTTTAATTCATGCATTGTAGACAGAAAATTAAAAGCTTTGATAATACAGCCATTAGCTCTTATGCTTTATTAAAACTATTTGCACACCCTTTGTTGCACTTGTGAGATTTTTCAGCAATACAAAACACACTTTTAATGCATAAAAGAGCAGAAGCTCTCAGGAAGACAGAAGAGTATTAGAACAAAGTTCAGTGATGTAAGAAAGTACCTGGATAAAAATCCCCTTGCGCAAACATGTCAATCACATAGCGACAGAATGCATATTGATCTAACAGAGCAAAAAGGAAAAAAGAGTAATGAAGAAAGTAAATTTAAAATTTTCTTTCTATTTAACAATGAAGATGAAGCTTTGCAGTACAAATACACATTCTGGGATACTGTTGCCATATTTACTTGAAGCTTTGTTTTTTTCTAGCCTTAAAGTAAGTCACGTTTTCAGAAAATGACCTTTAATGTCCAGATGTTATTCAGGGCTCTCAGCCAAGGATTTTGGAGCTACAGGTGCCTGAGAGCTACCAACGCTTGTGCACCTGCAGGGTACTGTGCGTGTCCCAGGCCAGAAACGTGCGGCCTCTGTTTTGGCATTTGTCCTGGCTCCCAGCACAGCTACTGTGCAAACTGCTGCCTGGTCGTAGATCCCAATGACTTTTTCACATGCTTGAAACTCTATTTTAAATACTTTCAACCAGGCAATAGAAAAATTTGGTTAATTTATATAGCTCCAGATTTTGTTAATATCCTTTTAAAGGTATAATCAACATGTACATTTATTGAATGGGAATATGAAAAGAGCTCTATACACTTAAACATCTGTAGCAATGAAAAATTTCCACAGAATTTTATCATTTCCCTTCAGAATCGTATTCCAGATATTAGTCTTTACAAATATAGATATATATATATATATAGTATATAAATATATTACAACTATGATATTCAGAAAATAAGGCTTCTGAATCTAAATGTAACTCTGATTTCACAAAAGTTCATGGTCTATTGATTTCTTCTATAAATAGGCAATGTTGAAGACCTCAGGTAAAATTTCTATCACTAAGAACAATGAAGAAAAGTTACCAATTGTAACCCGGTGCAACATAATTGCAGTGCTATATGGACTCTCCAGGTGACCAGAAAAAAAATGCATTGCACCAATGAACTCCAAGGGACATTAGCTTTGAAAGTCAGTGTTGATAACTAAGTGCCAATACTGGTTAGCCAGTTTGTTCAGAATGGACCTTCAATTAAGCATACTTATCTATCTGTCTTAGGCTGTTGCCCCGTGCTTCCTAGGCCACAAAAGTTACGTATTTCTCTCCACCTCACATTGCATCTACTTCCTATCACATACGAAGCCAGTAATGTTTTCTTTGCCAAACTCAAAACAAAATTATGCACACTTTGAAATAGTTACAAATTTAAAAAATAGCACAACCACTATATTTAAATGCAAAATTATCTTCCCAAGTTTATAACACTGATTGTATTATTTGCTTTTTTATATATTTTGCTAGAGCATCAGTATTAGCTAATACTGAAGCATTTATGGAACTGCTGCTCTGCTATGTTGAGTGCCATGAAAGTCCTTTAGTGGAGAACTGCAGCTTTCAGGAGTCATGATTTCTCATGGAGTTGTAGAAATTAAGAGGGGATTTACAAACTCAGCAGACATCAATTGCTTCTACTTGTACATAGGAGCCCTTGTAGTTTTTGCCTGTTGTTGAGTTGGCAAGGGTAAAAGATTTCTAGTCAGTGTTGTAAAACTTGGGTTAAACTTGCCAGGACATACACAGGGACGTAACTGTAAACACTACTTTTGAAGCTTTCAATGACTATCCATAGTAGTTTCTACATTCATGTGTGGGAATTCAGAATTTGTCATTCTGGTTGGCTCCAGTCTAGGATTTCATCCTTAAGGAATTTGAAGTATTTGGCTGTAATTTCTGCCCTAACGCTATAAAGTATGCTAACTTTCTGAAAAAAAAGGTAGAAGTGTATGCATAGGAAAACAAATATGTACAAACATGTACTCTCACTAAGCCCATCTAAAATCACTGAAGTCAGGAAAGAACTTGCACTGCCTTCATCACACCTGCAAAGGGGGCCTCAGTGAGCCAGTCTATTAGGTTACATCTGTATTAGTAGGTAAAATGGGCCAAGGGCAATTCCTTAGCCCAGAGAGCATATGGCAGGGCACAGCTCTTGTCCATAAAGCTGAATTGTCCTTACTCCTCCCCTGTCAAAACAAGCTCCCTTCATCTGTGCTACTCTTTGGGAAAAGTCCTAGGGCTGTTCTCGAGCATTGTAGGGGAAACTGCTCAATGGCATGGGACAAAACTGTGACAGAGGGCGTAAACAGTACGGACAATCACAGGACGGAGTATAAGCCTGTACCCTGGCCCTATTTGGCTTCTGTTATGGACATGGCCTGAAGGCTCACAACATTTCACTAATATTAAAATAATCCATTCTTTTAATCATAGAAACACAAACCGGGATTTAAATGGATTATTTCTTTATAGCAGTGTCACCTGAATGAATTTTTAAAAAGAGGCTGTATTATTAATAGCTCCTAGGGAAAAATATATATATTAATCTTCTCCCCATGCAATTTTTTTAGTAACTCAACCCCTGAAAACTGGAATTTATTTAAAAAAAAAGGTAGAATGTTAAGCTCTGGAAAACAAAAATAGCATTTTGACTGTATATGAAATAATAAGGTGCATGGTAACATCCCATTGAAAAGCATAGGAATTCTGCTAATCATCCTTTGATTCAAGACTCAGGAATTTTAAATAAGTATAACTTTCCAAATGTCTCTTCATGGCTAAAAATTCATTTTCATTTAAACTCTTTTATTAGAAAAAAGGGTTTTACACTATCATTTTCACCTTATAACTGTATACCAGTGAACATATTCAACAGAGTACTAATAAATCATGTCAAAGTTTGGGACTAGATGCTTACTGATAAAATTAGTCATAGATCTTTCTGTGTCATTTGATTTAACCCAGAAGATGACCTAGGCTTTTATATATTAATTTGCTTAAGGAATAATGAAATAGCAGAGAAATCATAACAACACGCCAATAATTACTGTTATTTACTTTACACTGTTGCAGAAAAATTGACAGAAGTACTCCTTTGAGCAAGGAAAAGTAAGTATTGCAGGATCAGGAAATTTTAGCACATCCATATTGACTTAAAATTATATCCACCTTGGGTCGCAGTGAGTCGGAAATACAGAACTGATTTCTCTGAAAGTATCCAGTTGGGCAGCAGCAACTTATGATGGAAAAAAAGAATAACAAAACTCAGAAAGACAGATTTCACTGAATGTATGTAACCATATCTCCAGTGATAAAGGCAGCTTAAGAGGCTCCTTCCTTCCTCCACTCCAGCTGTCCATCGCCACTTTCACCTGCCTCAGCTCAGTGCACAGTCCCTGCGGGGTCACACTTTAAAGCAGACCCATGGAGCCCAAAAGTTTGCTAAACTTTCCCCTTGGTCAGAGCAACCAGAATGAAAGATTATGCTTTTATTTTATGCCTCAAAGCCCCCAGTATTTCGTGTGAAAACTAAAATTTAGTAGAATATAAATAAATGTTAAAAAATACAGGCTTACCACATTATGCATGTTAGAAAGGGGACAATGTCTCAAAATCATTCATTGCACATTTTTTAAAAATATAATTTGGGTAACTCTTAAGGAGTCCACAGCTGATGGCTATGAAATTCTGAGTTAATATGCCCAGATAGATTCAGACATCCAAGCAGGGACAGCTGCTTTGATGCTCAGGCATAGCAATTTATCTGTAGCTCTCAGCTGAAAATATCAGATAGGTGTGCGGTGCAACACTGAGCTCCTGCTATTAATGTCAGAATAATCCTTGCCTGCAGTGTGGCAAATCTTACAGAAAGCCAGATCCTGCTGCCTTCACTCATATACAAAATTGTACCTAACTCCATGGAATACCCACAGGGAAATCAGGGAATTCAATGCAGTTAGGGAGTGGAATAACCCAGGATGACTCTGACAGAGAGGAGTGTGTTAACATCTACATTTAGTGTTGATGCATGTTAATTCCTGTTTTATCACTTAATTTCTTTCTCTCACCAGGGAAATGATATTTCTTTCCTTTTTGGTAGCAATTTGGAAGCTAATCACACCAAATTACATCAGGCATTTTCATTATGTCATACAAAACGTGACTGTGCCTTATACAGTCCGATATGATCCAAATGATAGATTCCCTTTCATACACTGCTATTTTCATTATTGTAAAGCAGGAAGTATGCAGATGTAGAAACAAACATATTTTCCAACAGATCATTGAATAGTCCTTATTTTCCAAAATAGCATTGGTACTAATACACTATATAAAATTCCACTGTGCAAATCCATCAATACTCTGCTTTGTCTGAAGAGACATTGGTCCTCGGTAAAGACGGATTCAAACTGAAAACGAATTTTTAGCCATGACAAACAGTCAGAACATTCGGGTTATTTAGATTAAGCTTATTTTAATCTGGATAGTTTCCACTTAGTGATCTGGGATTCATCTGGAATTTATTTGTACTGCACTTTTCTTTTTCATGGGTGGACTTTGGTCCTTGCCAGCTTTAACTTCATTCTCTCTGCTTCTTTCCTACTACCTTTTTAAGATCTTCATCTGTTTCCTTCAGGTTTTGTTTACCTTTCTTTTCCGATTTAGTTACAGTTTGAAGAGCTTTCTCCTCCTTAACTTTTGGTTTGGCCTTTATTAGCCCAACTTCTGTTGTTTTATTCTCTGCCTGCTTGAGCTTCTCGGCCGTCTTTGCTTCACCTTTTCCATCTTTCACTTCCTTTTTAACTTTTGCTTCCACTTTTGTGCTTTTTACTTTCTTTTCCTCTGGAAGTAATAAAGAAAAAACTTTCAATGTCATTTTTTCTCTCCCTGTCCCCTCCAAACAATCAATACCCTTCGTTTTATCTTGTGCTATTATTAACGAGTATTTCTTCATCTTTAGCACCTTTCTCAGATGTGACACAAATAACCTCCCCCTCCCCCCAAAAAAACAAACAGACTCACACAGAAATATTAGGTACAAGCACATTTTGTCTTCAGATCTGTACCAAGGATTAGACTGATACAAAGAAATAGGCTATGGTAAATAATAAATGTATCTAATGACAATATACTAGCTTTTATGGTAGAAAGTGAAGCAACAAATCTTGGCTGTTATGCAAACAAATATGGTACTTCCAGGCTAAATCTGATTAACTTTAAACTTCAAGGATCAAGAGCCAAACTGTGTCGTAAGCTGTAAGTATAGTCAATTTAAAGCAAGAATATTTCTAAGGGCTGTGTTTATGATACGGGTTTTAGATCTGGGCCCAAGGAAGTCTTGATTGCTTTAGTTTCACTCCATGTCAATTCCCCAGTTTCAAAGCCTTGTCTGAGACAGGCCAATTCATGATGTGCTATTCAGTAGAGAGAAGATTTCAGAGCAGAATAACCAGGCTGTAAAAATCAGTGGCTGAAGCTAAACAGAGGTCGGTGACACCAGGTCTATTCCTTCTGCTCTTAGGTATCATCTACTTTTTGTCAGCTGAGCTGTGGCTGTTGACTGTGTGCTTGTAGTTCACTTCAGTGGAAAATCTAACAGAAGCCTTAAATCAGCCCTGAAACTTTTTAAAACTAATCTGTTTAATGTTTACAAGTCTGTTCTTGGTTCTCATCATAGGTCTAAATGTCTCCATCCTTGAGGCAAAACTCCAATTAGTGCTACAGAGTCCATGTCTTCTGTAAGACTCTGGGCTTCTATTCGTATTAAGCCACTGAGCTGATTAGACTGATTGTTAGTATGTGAACTGAACTTATTCTACCTATTCTAAAACAGAATATAGATATTCTTGTAATGGACAATTCCGATTTCCAAACAAAGCCACAACACTACCAAATGCATTGCTGGCTAATAAAAGGAAGATTTCATTGACTACATATAGTGAAAATATGTGTGTCAGATCACATACGGTTAGCCCAACTTATTTTTCAGGGCAGTGGTGGTTCATACATTTATTTTTATTCTCAACTTCGAAATTTCACAGGGTTTAAAAAGGGATCATGTATAGAACTAAACGCTCGATGTTCTAAAGACATTTTATTTCATCATTATAGTCATGTAGTTGATTTTTCGTACATATTTTATTCTCTTCTCACATAAAGTTTATGAATTTTAATATAAACTCTGGAAAAAATGTAACATAAATTTATAAATACCTCTAGGAGGAGCTTTCTTTTCAACTTTTTCTTGTCTTTCGGCTTTTTCTTTTTGAATTGCTAAAAATGAGTACAATTATATATTAGGGGCGGAAAAAAGAGTAAGAAAATATTGCTAAAACACAATAACATCACTGGAAGTTTCACATTTCTTTATATTTCCTTTTTTTTTTTACGTCTTTTCCTCAGGTTCACACACTAGAGCAAAAGGCTTCAAAATCTCTGTTAAGAATCATCCAACCAAAAGATAAGGCAGTGACACAGATCTGAAGCTTTTTGAGGAGTGTTTGTTTATACTGTGTATTCCATAGGACGCACACTGGTTCTGCTCAAGCTCTGAGCAGACATGGGCTTGCTCTTTTTGTGCTCAAGCCAACAGAAAGCTGTGTGACTACGTTAGTCTTCAAGAAAAGGGTTATTCTTAGCTTGGGCTCATCGCCATACGAGTACAGCCACAAGCCCGGTGCTCAGTTCAGAGCCAAACCAGAGTGAGTTCACGTCTGCACAGGATACTCTGTGTAAACACGCACTGCTATGACCCAGAAAGACTATCAAAACTTTATTTGCAGACTTCTATCCTTCCTCTCTTGGTTGCCCTCCAGACATATTTTGCAGTAACAAAACAACCTTGAAAATTAATTACGCTTCTCTCAAGCGACAGCTATATAAGAGCAGCATTCTCTCTTACTGAATTCCAGCCTGGAATTACTGCCGATATGAGCCATAGTGGATATTTAGATGGGTTTTGTTTAGATAGCAGTTTCTTAGATGACATCTTTAAATAGCATTCATATCACTGAAGTCTCTGGAGCCTTTAGCAGGGGCTGAAGAAATACTCAAGGACTGTTTATTGAGCACTGAGAAAATCTCCTGTCTGTGAGGGAGACAAGCCACAGCTCTTACAGGATGTTTGTTCCCCAAGATTGTCCTGGACCTGAGCTTCCTCATTTCCCAACTCCAAGCTGTTGAAAGGGCCCCTCAGAACAGCTGGTGGCTGATGCAGTTTGGAGTAGACCTTAGACAAACGGAGGTTTGCCTGGCAAAGGACAGCTCAGGACACTGCGTGCATAAACATGCCTTAGGAAGCACTTAAGGTAATGAGTGCACTAGTGCGTTAAGTTCACCCATAGAGACTGATACTGTATAGAAACTATTCTAGACAGGGCAGTAGGTCTACAGAAGCAGCAAATTTCCTTAGCTACTCAAGTGGCCAAAGGGCCAAGAAGATTAATTCTTCATAAAATTTACTAGCTAGTGACTGGAGTAATGGCTGCTATTAAATACATTAAACCTCTAAGCGATTATTTGCTTAGCTAGCAGAAGATAAATGGATAAATAGTCTAGCTGCTCCTTAGGAATATCTCCATGATTCTTGAAGTTACTTGCTTTTCAAGACGACACACACTCTGTCGGCATTTATTTTTTCCGATTTACTTCAGTGTGATTCCACTTTAAAAAAGAAAAATCCTATGCTGAGGTTATATACTCAGATCAAATACCTCTTTTAAAGAGAGACTGGACAATGGCTACCCTTTCTATTTAAGCCTTCATTCTACTTCTTCTCTCTCCTTACTTCCACCTTCTGTTTTCATATTTCTCCTTAGAAGAAGATTGAGTCCAATAAAGTTTGATTTGTACATTTGAATTTATATAGTTTGAACAGCTTCAAACCCAGACTAATTAATTCATGTGTCTCATCATCATCATCATCTTAATTTGACTGCAGTAACAGACTGATATTAGACACATCCCTCTTTTTTTTTTTTTTTCAGGATTTAACTCTTATTTGAGTAAAAGTAAGAAGACACAAAGATTAGAACCTAACTTAATTATGGGAATATTTGGCTTGCAAAAAACAAAGCGTCTAAGAGGAAAAAAAAAGAAGGAAAACTTCAGCACAAAAATATACAAATGTCAAGTAATAATAAATCTTAGTCTTAAAAAATGGCATGGCAGAGCAAGCTGACTGGAGTTTTATATCTACCTTTTCCAAGTATGACTAAAGATGGAATTATCAGACAAAAGAATACTGAAATCCACCCTTCACACATAATGTTGCTTCAAAATATATGTAATAATTAGTAGATATATAAATCTTAACCAAGGCAACTTCTGCCACGGAGTACAGTACAAATTGTGTACTGAAATGAAAAGGCGATTGCAAAAAATAAAGGCAAGAGAACAAAAATCTATTTTTGGATATGATGGAAGATACAGACGGAGAGATGGCAAACACTCTCACAGGTCTGTACCAGATTGAAAACTGATACACAAAAGAAAGCCTTCTTTGCAGGCAAATTACTGAATCTAGTTGTGGAGGAAAGGAAACCAAGGTTGAATGCACATATTATGGTCATAGGCTCATTCCTTTAGCTGCACAAGAATGATTCATAACTACCTCTGCACATTGAAGCAAGTGAACGAAGCAAGAAATATGTGCTGTGTAAGATTTCAGTCAGGAGCTGATTAAGACCTGCTCAAGCAAAAGAGAGAGGGACCAAAGAATATACAGCACAGACTAGAAGAACTATACACTTTAAATACTCATCTCCACATTCTCCCAAATTGAAAAAGCACTAACATTCTCCCAAATTTAAAAAGCACTAACAATCCAAAACTGTACTACAGCTAATAACAATCAGCATTACCTTTGGAAGGTGCTTTCTTTTCATGTTTTTCTGGCTTTTCAGGTTTCTCTTTGTGCGTAACTAGAAATAAGCAACAACAATATTGTGGTTATTAAAAAAGAGAAATGATGCAGATTAAGTGAGAAAAAGGAGAAAAACGAAAATCAAGAAACGCATGGCTGGTCATGCAAAAGAGTAGAAAGATTTCTTCAGCTGCTGCTGTCTTCCACTCATGGGATTGTCCCTGCATTTAGCACCTTCATTTCTGTAATATTTATAGTTTAACTGCTAATTTGGGTGGCTTATTCAGGTCTCTACTCAAAAGGAAAGTTATATTATTTTTGTCTTTGCAAGGGTCTTCGCTACAGTGCAGAGAGCAGAAAGCCTTGGCGTATCATTCCTGTGCCAAACGAATATCACAGCTGAAAACTGTGCTTCTCTCACAGTACAGTAAAGTAAAGTAAAGTTAGAAGTGTAAATCATTGAGGACAAAGAGGACTTTGCTTCAGGGGTGAAGCCCTTCTGACCTCCAAAGCCACAGCCTGGTGGGCCATATGCAACTACTTTTGGGAGAACGGGTATCTTCTGCATCGCTTGCGAGTCTGACACCCTGTGTATATGACATAGTGTTTCTCCCTGCATCCTTGTCCCCAGGATTTTTGGATATCTGGCATCCCAAGCTACCAACCATTTGAATTCCAGGAGAGCACTCCCAGCTACCAACTAAAAATCTACCAACTAAACTGGCGGGCCTGTGCTTATCTGCTCCATGCGTTTGCTCTAACAGACAAAGAGTTGAGCCCTGGACTGTCTCCTGTCTCAGGCATGACTACTCAAACCTACCTTCACAAGCTTATACACAAGGACATTCAGCTATTCAGAAGTGGCCTTTGCTCAGGCAAATTCTTCCAGAAAGCGTTTATTGCCATTCTGCAATAAAATGTGGAAGCAAATGTGGAACCCTTCCCTTCCCCTCTTGCCCCAAAACAGGATGACTATTTTTTCTCCCTGCTCTAAAATAGTCTATTCAATATTGAAAAAAGTGGATAAAAATAATAAAAATAATAATTAAAAAAATAAAACTGAGGTGAAATATAAAAGTGTTTTGCTTTAACAAATCATACTCCCCTAAGAAGTGATCCTTTTACTTGCTAACTTCAATACTGGGGAGGCTTATTTACTCTTGATAAGCTATGTTTATTAAAATTATTTTATTTAGTAGCTCTTTTGTGAGCAGCACTTGGAGATATGCTTAATGGCACATTAGGACTTTAAAACCAGTAGATCCATAAAATCTAATTGTACAGGAAGGATGCTGTAAACCACATGTACAGAAAGTTAAATAACAGCCCTGCCAGGACTTCCTGCCCATTTTTGCCAACAAAGTTTTCTTCTTTTTTTTTGTTTTATTTATTCATATGTGTATGAGAGGTGTTTGGAGGAGGAAGAGCAATATTTGCTCTTAACAGCACAACAAGAAACGTTTTACTACATTCAACCATCAATGCAAACAGTGGTCGTTTGACTTCTTCATTTGGCATATCAAGACAGCTTAATGGCAGCCGTATAATGGGATCTGTTGAGGATATCTGGACAAATCACTAAGACCACTCAAGATGTCAAAATATACGATTAGAACTTTCAAAACTTACATACCATGTCTACGGTCTATTTCATCTCCTGCAATAGGAACGGTATTTCTGGCACAACGGTGATGCCATGAAAGACGTTAATCAAAAAGAGTTCTGGTTACTTATGTTGTTTACTAGCTTTGTTTATTAGTTTATTTTGCTTTATTGGTATATTTGGTTTTTCTTGTTTGTTATTTTGGTTTATTTCTGAAGGATTTTCTGAACTCCCCATCACAAATAACAGTTTTACCAGCTAGGAATGATTAAACATTAATTAATTACAAATCTAATTACAGTGGTATTATAACTAATACGCTTTGAGTATTTTTTGTTTGCTTTTAATTTCCACTTTACAAATTGAAATGAAGTACACTATTGTGACTAGGTTTCTGGCTCAGATTTTAGAATACACCTGAGCTGTGCAATACCAGCCCCATGGTGCATAGTCTGGAGTATTTTCTTACTTACACTCTTATTTTCTAAATGCTTGCAATTAGAAACTGCACTCACTTGTGCATGGGTATGCAGAGGTATTTGTATGTGCTTTTATCCACTGAGGTACCCTACCGAGACCAAGCATGTGAAAACACCCAGCTGCCTATTTGTTTCTGGCATGTTATATTAGGAACACACAAACGTGTGCATGAGCAGTGCAACGTACCCTCAAGACTTATGCTGATGGTTCAAAAGAAAGTAACAGCTATTAAAGGTAAAGCAGTGTTAAATACCTGTGTATTGCAAATAACTACTTAATGAATTAGTCCTGCCTTGTCCAATACCTATGTAACTGCACTATTCTCTAGCCTATTTTATTTAAAATCTTTTTTTTCCCTGCATCTTCTGCTTCATTCTCTTTGTTTACATTTTAGCTAGTTGTCAGGTGTGTTTATTGAATGACCATATTCATTCAGTAACCATATTTACTGAGAATATTGGAAATGCTCCTAGGAAATAATGACTATTGAGTCATGAAAATATTTATCCATAGTATAAAATATACTATCACCATCTCCCCCCCGCCCCGAAATACCTTGCAGAAGGAATACAAAATGCTACTCAGTCTGCATCTCTGCAAACCTTTATATCACCTGATGACTTTACTCATCAAGTTCTATAACAATTTTTCCAGTCGCAAGGATACATAAATTGAAATACAGTGGAACGGAGCAGGTTAGTCCCAGAGCTATCCCAAAATGTAACATAAATAATGACATTTAATCATTACCTGTATGCCTTTCTTTTTTTTCAGGTTTTTCTTGTCTTTCCAATTTGTCTTTATGTGTCACTAGGAGATAAGAAATATGTATATATATATATAAAAATCTGTATTAAAACACCTGTGCAAGAAACTGAAGAATCAAAAATAATTCTGCCTAGAATGGGAGACAAAATGACAAGCTGTAGTTACTGAGTTATCCCATGCATATCTGCACAGCATGCATCACACTACATGGGTATGAGCAGGTAGACAACTCTGGGCCTAAAAAGTTACTGTTTATCATCTAAGCCATAGTAACATGCCTCAGCTGTTTAGCACAGTAACTTTATCACTTGCAATTGTCTGTCCATTCCTGAAGACAGTTTTTCAGAAACCTGTCAAGGACTAAGAGCTCACAGTAAATGCTGCTGCCTTCAACAGAAGGAGCGCATCACCTGGCCTGTCCTGTACTCTGACAGGCAGAGGCTTACAACAACCCAGGAAGAACTAGTCTTGGCACATAAGAACATCACATGCACAAATGACTTCTCTCACTTGCCAGTTGGCTCAAAATGGATAGTTAGTAAGGGACACTAGCTGAGATCTGTCCCCAGCAAATGATTTTAGACTTGTAATTAGATGCTCAGTGTGTGCAAAGTAAAATATAAAATTCTGACAGGGGAAACCATACGGAGCCATCCACTCATTGACTTAACTTTTTGCACCTTCCTTACCTAGGAGTCAGCACAAGAATTGTCAAGACAATAAAAACTAAGCACGCGGATTTTAGAGCACTTCAGAAAAATCAGCTTTGAAACTGCAATCTAACTCCTGTGGAGATGTTCTCATAGTTTAGTAAAAATCCTTTGTCAAACAGGAGAAAAAAGGAAAGATCTTTTACAGTGTCACAAACTCCATATCTAACTGGAAGTGAAAGTAAAAGAGCTGGGATTATTACGAGAGAGGGCTCTCACCGTTTTTTAGCAACTAAGAGATGAAATATATGAGAAAGAGAGTTCCTGACAGAGCTAATTGAGCCATTCCTATAGACAGTTACCAACTCTCTGAGTCATTAGGTAACTTGCCTAAACTTCATTATAGAAGTTGATCAGAAATTAGAATAGGATATTGTTTACTTTCTCCAGATTCCAATCTTGAAAATGGAACATATTTAAAGTAGACAATAAGCATTTAAAATACAGGGATGCTGTAGAACTTTGAGGGCTCCCAGACAATGAAAGGGCCCTACAAAGACCTGTAGCCATAGTCATAATTTTAAAATACAATATCCAGTGTGAAAGCAATGACTTTTAGTACAGTGAGTCCAGAGAATATATATCCTTAGTAATATTTTAGTAGAAATTGTAACAGTAATTCACTAGCCAAAATTAAGCAATTCATTCACATTAGGATACGATACAGTCAACAGCAGAGCCAGGTAGGAGTTGTAATAAATTAAGGTAGTATAATAATTCTCCTTATTCTTCTTCATGGGACAGCTGAAATTTGTTTGAGATCTGATTTTCCTGTCCTAAGAAACTTCTAAAAACAAATTGTTCTCCTACCAAAGCAAATCCAAGAATTTCCCAAGTATTCCACAAGGAGAAGTCTTGGCAAGACTTTCACCCTTTTGTATGGGATAGTATAGTCTTTGTTTTTTCATTTTGCCAAATGTCAGAAACGTTTTATCTTATTAGAATTGCTTCATTTTCTAGTAATAAATATTCACTGTAATAGAAACCTGAACTCATGTCACTGCCAGTAACCTCTAGAGTAGGTCCTACTAACTTGGTATATTTTGAATTAATTACATAAAACGGAAGAGTTCCGGTCAGAGACCATTTGAAAGGCCTAGCCAAGCATAAATTTCAAGAAGGTGCATGTTCACTTGTCTTGTGAAAGACTTACGTTCTTGGTCTGAAATAAATCACCCATGCCTGGATTTTGGGTCTTACGTTTCTTGGGTACTTATGATGATCATTGCCCTATTTGCTCTTCTAGAATGGTTTTCTTTCTCCAATCAGAGACTTTACTCTGGACTTGAGTAAACTTTCTTAATAACATTTTTATGTAAAGGATTCAGAAGGTTTAAAGAGTTCTGACGTGTAGGCATATTCCAACAAAATATCATTTTGTCAAAAAGTCCTTCACAAGGGGCAAACTAGATGGTGGCTCTGAGAGCACAGAATTAACTCATGAGTTGTGGATGGGGAGGAAGCACTTTCCTGATTCTAACTCCTAAAATAGGTGAGTCCATAATTTGTTGTTAGCAGACACCAACAGCAATTAGCAAATCTTCTCTAACATTCCCTAACGCCCCCAGGAAGAGGCTGGGGGAAAATTTTTTTTCAAAGGCAAGTCTCTGAAGCAGAAAGCCTCCAAGGGCCATGCCCTGTATGCTATAATTTACTCATTACATTTTGCTCAGAAGTACGCCCAAAGACAAATATTATGTTTGGATTTATTCAGGAGAAACAAAAAGGTACCTATTCATGCTCTGGACATCTTTTACATGAGCTAATAACACAATAAAAACATAATCATTATTTTATGAATGTAATGTTAGCCTTTCTCCACAGTGACGAATTCAAAGTGCTCGAGGAGCCCTCATTCTCCTTCCAGCTGTCTTTCACAACACCTCCTCCATCCTTAAACATAATTACAGTTTACAGAATGGTCTAAGAGTCAATAGGTCAGATTGTTTTGAATAACTGGTAAAAAGACAAAGAACATCAAATGCTAGATACCTACCCTTTATGGGTTCCTTGGTTTCAATTTTTTCTCGTTTTTCAGGTTTGTCTCTGTGAATTACTGGAAATAAAAAACAGTAAATCTGTAATTTCCGGGTATTATGTATATTCATTATTTTACCAAAGTGACAGAGGAAAAATATTTGTAAAATTAAGTAACGTGTTTCAGCTCTGACTCATAGATACTAGATTGTGTCGTAATGTCAATATTTAATTCCAAGTCCAGCAGAAATACTTTTGCCTGGATAAGTTTTGAGATGGTGGGCCATATTTTTGCAACATAAGTGATTATTCGGCAACCCTAATTTAATGTGCAGGATCTGTTTTGGTCCCATTACGCAAACACCTTCGGTCTAGGATTTCCACTGAAGGAAATTATTTTCAGTCCTTGACAGCACTGCTTTCTATTCTTAACAGAAAACGGCTAGCATTTTGCTATCTACATGCTTTCTTCTTTATTTTTAGATGTTACTTCAGTCACAGGACAGATTAGCAAGAATGCATCCCTTTTAATAAGAACGTAACATCAGGAAGAACAGCTGTTTAAAACAGAGTCAACTCTATGTCCTGCTAGAAGCAAGCAAACTTGAATCCTTAAGGGCTCTGCTGCCTGCCGAGCTTCTAGACCTTGTTTTTGGACACCATCGTATTCCACATCGTAATAAGTTAGATAGACAAAAACATCCATTATCAACCTCTGCTACCACTTGGCCCATTAATAAAAGACCAGTGTTTTGTAATTTCAGGGAAAGCAATACTTTCTTCGCATTACCCAAGTTTCTCTCAACAAATCTTCTACAGAAAACACAACTCTGCCCAGAAGATAACTGTGACTTTTATACACAAGGATAGTAATATTTCTGCATACATTCACTTTGCCGTACTTGTAGCAAACATAATTTCACAGAGGTGGAAGTACATTTTTGGTGGTTAAATATTTCCTTATTAAATAATAGGTTAGTGTTTCTTTAGGAAAAATCATTGTAAACATTCAGTAATTTTACTATGTCTTTATATGTGTTTGCATTATCCAAATACACTTCCAGTCATAATAGGTAAATTATTGTTAATATCAATTAGTAATATAACGGAAAGATGTTGAGGGCAGATTTTTCAAAGCCCTTAAGGAATGCGGACAGCCAATTTACACTGAAATAAAAAAGCTGTGAAAAACAAAGCAGCAATATATTATTGCATGAACTACAAATTCTATAATTCATGCGATTGTTTTAGGACCTCTTGTAGTGTACCAAGGAAAAGCAGTCTCCTCGTTCTTTATATGCTGCAGAACTTAAGCTATTAATTTTTTTCATGAATAAAGTGGATGAAATGGTAGCCCACTCTTATATAGTAGCTTTGTATTAGCAAACACAAGCACAGTGTAAAACATTTATAACCAGTGTGTTCCCAATTTGGGATAAGGCAGCAGCACAGTTTTGCAGACAATAGCTCTTTGATGGTCAACACCTGTAATGCACAAGCTTCTGGACATCTAATAAAAATCCTTGTAGTTTCTACGTCAAAAAGTATAGCTGAACTATGCAGAAGTTCAGGAAATAGCAACAGGAAAGCTTGTTCTTAGCTGCTGAGCATCAAACTTGTGTGAGGGATACAAAACATCTTTCAAAAACTGTTTTTTTTCATTCTCCTCTTCCCCATAGCATCCCCTTATTTCATCTTTTGGAAGAAATCAAAACGAGTCTTGAAAGACATGAACTGCACTGAGTGTCAGTGGACTTTAAAGTGGACATAAATGTAATTTAAGGCTCCTTTACATTGTCAAAATGATATAAAGGGGCTCAAACACAAGGAAATAGTAATGCTTGTGTGGATCTCAAGCTAAAAATATGGAGAAGAGATCAGTTGGCTCCTTCCCGAGAAACGAAAGTAGCTTGATATATCTGGGCAGAGAGCCTGGAATGTGGATAAGCAGACACCAGGCTGGCATAGGCTTAAACTATTTTTCTCTTCCCAGTGATAGGCTGAAGGTGTTCTCTAATTAGTCCAAGAGCCCTATCCTGCATGTTGATATCACCGTAGCCTCAGCGTATGCTAATCTCAGATTGATTGTAGTGTTTACCATTACCTCATATGGACATGGTCAGAGCTGTGGCTTTTGGGTAAGTGCTTATCCGGGAAGGGCAGGTGCTGCCAAAAGTAAAGGGTTCACATTCCAGGACCGTGATGCCTGGCCATTTTTGCCTCCTCAGTCACAGTGCAGCAGGGAGACCAAAGTTTCCCTGCTGCATTTTAAAAATGTGAATGTGATTTTTCTTTTACAAGTTAACTCTTTGGCTTTTCCCCCAAAATATTTTCACGTTCAGCTTTGTATGGAGTCCTAGAAGCTCCGTCATATAAAATACTTGACTTTGTAGAGGTCCTCTCCAGGTCTATTTGCCTAAGTATCTTTTTCTTTCTAGAGGGCTTAATATATCCCCTTTTCCAAGCCCCCAGTGTTTATGGGACTCAAGGAAAGGCTGGGAAAGTACAAGGATTAAGTTTCAGAAATAAGCTAAGCTGGCCATACTGCCATGTTTCTGGGAAATAAACCAGAGTAAGTGCATAGACAAAATGAACACAAAGCACATAAAAATGTTTTTAAGGCTGCTAAGTTAAACATTCTTCAGATGAAAAGTGCCAGAACTAAAACTGTCAACTCAACCATTTTATTTGCTTTATGAAACACTCTGTAATTAAAAGATCATCTCTCGCTCTTTTTTTTAAATAGGATGCCCGATTCACCCAGAAAAATAATACTTTTATAATGACTATGTAAGTTGAGATTTTTCCACAACTTCACTGAATTTGCTTAGACTTCTCTGCAAGTATTAAGAAGCATAAGCTCAGAATGAACTGTTATTAGTGTTGTAAAAAATATCCCAACCTAATTTTCACTAACCTAGATTTTGGAAATTGCTGAAACATTTTAATGAGACTTTGAATGAAAATTCAGCCTAAGGCAAAGAGCCAAGCATTAAAAATTTCATCCTGAATGATTGGAGTGTGGTAAATTTATAAATAATCTAAAATAGGAATGTATAATGGGGAATGTTAAGGTAATTTAAGAGTATATTCCAAACTTAATCATATAAGGATTGCTATCCACTTCAAAAAAATTTAAAAACAAGAAGTATGGTTTGTACGTGGGATATTTTCCCAAATTTCAATCATCTAATAGTATATTTTATTTGCTTCAAATGGAAGAAGTAATGAAGGGAAAACCAGATTTAATTTTCTTAGTTAAAGGGTTTGGGAGAATATTGGATAACATTTCCCTTCCCAAAAAAGTAAGTGCAAAAAGAAGAGCTGTAATAAGGAGACACTAAATCCATACCCAAGGGAAGTAAAAATAGTTCCCAGCCGAGTAAGTCTTAGGCTGCTGCTTTTTATATAAGATAGGTGATGAGTGCAATATGCAGGAAGCAGAGATTGCTTGCTCCAGCTAACTAACTGCTTGCCTACAGGGGAATACTCAGGAAAGTTAAGTCAACTAATACAATGAAGTGCTTAGTTAGATAGCATTAAATCTCTGTGTAGATACTTTTATTCAGAAGTAAAGTAGCCTTAGACGGCTGTAACTTAATCCTACTTGAAGGAATGGTTTAAAAAAAAGAAAAAAGGCGGGGAGCACTGGCTAACAAGTCCAAAATGGTAATCTAAGGAAACCCCAGCAGTTCACAAAGTGTGGAAGCACCTAAACTCATTACAAAGCACCTTGACTCCCTGTGAAGAGGGAGAGACTTGTCTCTGTGCTTGCCCAGACCTGCCTTAAACATGCTTCTCACTGCAGTGCCTAAACCTGTGCTGAATTTAGCCTTACAACACTGAATGTAAAAGTCTATAGAAGAGCCAGAAAATTGCTTAAAAGTTATGTGTATATACAGCTCAAAAATAGATTTAACTGCAGCCATCAGACAGTTTTACACCCATCTGAACTCAATCTAGGTTTGACTGCTACTGGTAGTAGTCAAACTACCTACAGCATTGGCTTCATCATGGGCTACACTGAACCCGTATAGCTGATGAAATACTTCACAGTTTTATCCTGAGGCACCACAGCTACATTGCTCTCTATACCCATGCTACTTAGTTTAGAGTTAGCTCAGGTGCATCTATAGCTAAGCCTGGGTATAACGGTAGACAGGCCCTGTGTCAAATGTAAATATGCTATTTAACTTGCTAATTCTGTCAGCTTGTTTGGGTTGCTAGTACATTGTGGATTTGTATGATCCAACTCTATTTAACTGCTCAGCTGTCTCTAATACGTTATCTTCCTGCTACAGCAAATTAAATTATGGGGATACATAATATTTGTCTTTATAATCTGATAATTTATCTGCACATTAACATGGACAGATTTATTCTGTGATGTTTAAAATCTGCATTATCAGTACAGCCCTATTAGCAAGTTGATAGGGGTAGGAGGGACAGATAAGTGTGATGCATAGTAAATGAAATAGTTTTGGAGGGACTGGAATCTAGTTTTAAAATCAGGCAGAATTCAGCAATACTTTCTACAAAGAATAGAAAGGCTTGTGCTATTTCAGAGACACACAAATATCTTTCCTTAAATCACTGCGTTTTAATGCATGATTCTTGGAGGCTGCATTTCATCACCAGGGATTTTTCCATCCCTCACTCCACCAACAATGTATTAGTGAAGTATATATGGGGGAAACCACACTACGTACACAGTAAATCAGCCTTTTCCCATGCCTCCACTGTGGTAATAGGAGCTATTCTTCCCTAGGAATACAGGTTAACTAATTTCACTAATTCCTGTTTTCCATTAGAAACAGAAGTGATATTATCAGTTCATTTGGGTTACCATTATACCTTGATCTTCCATCAGATAGAAGCTATATACTTTTATATACTTTTCTTTCAACATATTTTAATACTATTCTTCCCTCTTACCAAAATGTTACATTTTTACCTCTTATTCATCGACATTAATAATAATAACAACAATAACACCACCTGCTTCTTATATAGTGCCTCTATCAGTAGCTCTCAGACTCTTGCAAAGTCACTATCTATCATAAAATGGCAGAATCACAGGGTGCTCAAAATCTTCTTTTCAGAATTAAATTGAATAAATACAATAATTGAAAACATTTATTACTAACTGTTTATCAAAATATTTAATTATAGGCAAAGATTAGTGCAGAAGTTTGCCTGACTCGTCATACTATAAGAACCTGTCTTATAATTTATGCCACTTCCATCTGGAATTTCCATTCCTGGTATCTATATCTGGTAATTTTCTATAATCTTTTCAAAATTATGCTAATGGATAGTGGAACTTTGACTGGGGGGGGGGGGGGGGGAGGGGGAGTGACCTTTCAAAGATGTACCTAAAACTATTTCTAAAAGTCTAGTGTCCATATGCTTGGATAGAGGATTAAAATTTTGTTGGGATGTTTGCTTCCATTGGAAAGCATTTTACCTTTTACTAGCAAAATTTTACTTCTAAATTTTTTTCTGTTAAAAAACAACAAAAAATTGTATTTGAACATGCTTACTGGACTTATCTTAGTGGGTAACAGTAAAACTCCCTAAAGAGTCGGGTCTATATCATGCTGTAGCTTGAGACTGGACAGAACTTTTTTTGTTGTAGTTATTCCCCCAGTGTGCAAGATGGATCTCTGGGTCTACATACGAGAAGTAAGAATAGAAAAATTCTTCCTCCTGTGCTTCAGTAAGTGAATGCGCAATTAAAGACTATTATAAAGTACGTGCATAAAGGAACTTAAGTAATGACACCTAGCATCTTACAATTTCTTAGTGATCACCTCCGCAACATTAAGGTTCTTTTAATGTAAAGCAAAGCTTTAGATGGTACACAAGAGGCTGCTTTGGTCAAGGCTGCAAGTTCATTTATGTTTTTAGAATACAAAGCTTGAAAAATCCCTGACAGGGATCCCTTACTAGTGGATCTGAGTTTATTATTGCCCAGCTAGCCAAATGATACCCTAAAAAATTCATTCCTTACAATATGATTTATCAAGTGGGTGCAAAACTTTTCTAGGAACTCCAAATGACCCTGATTAGCACAGAACTGGAAAGCTAGTACTAGACTTGTAAAATACTATAAAACTTACAGAGAACATATATAAAATAAATATACATGTGTGAGGGAGGGTGTATATGTATTCGTATATTTTTTAATGAGCTTTCTTCCTGCTTTCTCCTGCATAGCACGGGTGCATCAGAGAGATGCTCATCAAATTTTATGCAGCCTAACCTTTACAGAAGAGGTTCTATTAGGCAAAAAATTGCACATCCCAGGAAACTTCTGTGCTTACACACCCTCTGAAAACCAGTCCAAACCAGTTCCGCTGTGGATGTGTAGAAAGTGCCAGTTAGAGGAGATTACATACTCTGAAAACAAGTTGGTTCTTAAAATGGAAGACTTTCTTATCTCCAGTACGCACCTGGCTCACTATTTAGTAAGACTTCCTAACTTGCAGCGCACCCACTGGCCCATAAATTTGCTTTCTTCCCTACCCAACACGCTTCACATATTTTACCCCAGAGGAAGTTCATAAGACTCCTGGATAAGTTTGGGCAGGAGAATCTTATTTGGAATACTCATTTATAGTATAGCCGCACAAATATAAAATGTCCCAGTCCATTAATGCTTTAACTGTGGCACACATCCATTTTTAACCATTTGCAATCTGTGTAGTTTTGAATGTTTTTAGAATGTAACAGTGGTAACATATGCAGTTTGTAAATACACTATACATTACACACCATACCTACATAAACAAAAAAATATGAAGTTACCCTTTGGTGATGTTCGTTTCTCGTGTCTTTCAGGTTTCTCTTTATGAATTTCTGGAAATAATACGATGTAGAGTTTATTTATCAACATTGAACAAATTTTCACACAGAAAAAAATGTACATTCTAGTAATAAAAATAGCTAAATGCTTCAAATATTGTAACAGAACTAAGGCTTTTTCATCTAGATATTCAGAATTATATACAATAAAGATTAATATTTAATATATATATACAGACATGCTCACATAGAACATATATGGACAAAAATCATAATGCTAACTTACTTTAATAATTATTCTGCTTTGAATTAAGTGGCACAACTCCTTATTAAGTAAAGAATAGGTTTTGCTGTTCTGCAACAGCTGTACAGTAACAAATAGTGGTCATGAATCACAAGAGATACACTTTTACTAAGCATTTTTCTGTACCTATTTCCAGTTATGTACCAGGATTAGCATTTTTTGGTTTCCAAAATACCTTTGGAAGGGAAAATATTATTTTTATTATGTTTTTTTAAATTTTGTAACGCTCTACCACACAGTAGAAAGGTAGACTCAATGTTGTATACAGATTAAAACAGAGATAAAAGTTCCTAGGTTAGGGAAGAGAGTCTCTGAGAATGACTCATTTAATCATGCTACATACCAAAGGATTTTTGATAAATCCACTGGCTGAGACCTGCCTTATTAGAGAGGAAGTGCTACAGTATTTATCTGACCTCTTGCTATGCTGCCTCTTCTGAAGAAAATTCCTCACTTCTGACACTGATGTTATATTATTGCCATATACCTCAGTATCTGATTTTTTTCTTCTGTCCTTATTTTGCCAGAAAAACTCAGATAATACAGAAAATGTAAAATGTGTAAATGATGAAAAAGAAAACCAGAAGAAAATCAAGTTCACTTAGTGCTGTTTGCATACAGCGGGTAAAATTTAAAAGGCTTTTTATGATGAATGCCCAATAAGCTCATTAAGAATACATACAGTGTCTGGTTTACGGTAATACACATATATCTCCTGCAGTGGAAAACTGATATAAAATACTGAATCAAGTTCATCTTTGAAAAAAAGCATATGCAAATCACGCTAGACTCTATAGGAGGTGCTTCCTTGTTTCTTAGGGTTAGATTTGGTCTGCAGGATACAAATAACAAGAACACTAACCCCAAAAGTAATCCAACAGAGAAAAAGTTGTGCATATTACATCTATTGAACTTTAAGGAGCCACTCTAATGTCTGTTGAAGGCAACAGAAGCATTCCATTTACCCAATAGATGCTACCTCAGGCTGTAACAGAACCCCAAAGAGATACAGTAGAAAATCGTGTTTTCACTTTCCAACGCTCTGATCTGTTTATAGGCCACTGAGAATAAATATAGAATGTTTCTATCTGGTAGTATTTATCATCCAAAGTAGTGACTGTATCTGGTTTGCAAGAAATATAGCTATACTATAGCATCAATCTAAGTTACCTTCAGAGAGAGAGGACCTTATTTTATCAGGGAGAGAAAGCATGACAAAGGCCAAAATATGTATTACTGTTAGCCATCTATGTATGACAGCATAGTTAAGCTAATTATACTATGTCAGTGATCAAAAGGACTTTTCACTGCATTTCCACCTTGTACTTTGCAGCTTGGGTGTGCGGTTTGTTTATTGTTCTGCAAACATCAAAGAAGAAAACAAGCCACATTGATTTACTATATTTCCACTGAGCTTGGATTGTTTTTGTATTTTTTTTCCATCTACTGAGAGAATCCAGTTGCTGGATTTTCATATATTTCTCCCTTGTTCTGTTTAAAAGGATGCATAAACGGGTTTTGGGAACATAATGCCTGTGCCTCAGTGTTTGACAAGGATAAGCTACAGCCAGAGGATGCTTTCCTTACTCTGAGCCCTTCTGTACGGTTCTCCATGCTGGCACCCTAAACTGCTTCCAAAACCTGTCATTTAAAGACAGCAGAGTCATCTCCTCTGTGTGGCAATATACAGTAGAGACTTAGCTCAAGTAAATCAAGAGGACATCCTACACACAGATATAAACGTGCCTCACTAAGTAAGAATTCATTATTCTTCAGGTAGAGTCATGTACTGTTTTTCCCAGCTTCACTAGGTTTCTACCACCTACTATGTGTCTCACCATGTAAAACAGGCCTTTTTTTCTTGAAAAAATAAGTATAAATCCTTGGGTTTTTTTTTTTAAAGAAGCTTTTTATTTCTATAAATAGAACAATGTTTCTATATATAGAACAACGACTGTAGAGCTGGTCATCTAAATTGGCTTCACTTTGTATCAGTGGTGGAGCTTACTTCTTGAGGCAGACACTTCAATAACCTACTTTAAAAAGACATTTCTCAGCCAGGAGCGTTCAGAAATCTCATCTAACATGCTGCTACAATTACGATACCACACGTGTCACAACCCCCCCAATACCTTGGAGTGAAATACACCTTCATAATATATAAGTGCATGTATATATATTTACATATATTGCAAAATATGCCATAATTAAGATTGCTTCACAAGCTCCCCATACAGTTTGAACAACCATAAAATACTGCAGCCTAGAACACGTCAACTCTGATACATTACAACCTAAATTTTGCTGGCACAAATAAATCTAGTTTCTATATATGCTGATCTATATATACTGATCAGTTTAGGAGGCAGAAAATAGTAACTGTTAGCCAACTTCAAAATATTCAAAATACGGAAACACATTGATTATTCTATTGAAAATTTTTTTCTATTCTGAGAGTTTTGATACTCTCTGCCTTATCCTTTATGACAAATAGCTTTAATTTTCTAGTAATCACATCATATCTTATTGCTGAGTTGACAAAGCAGCTATAATATCATAAAAGACTTACATGGCCAGTTGAAAGCAGGTAATTTATCTCTATCAGTGTGACACATTGTTAGTAGATCTTAAATATTACGAATTCTTGTTTAGAGAAATGACAGAATCAAGCAACAAGGAGGATAAACTTTGTCACCACGGCAACCATCCTTATTCTTTATGAGGTGACAGCACAGTTTATTAAATTATTGCAAGGGAATATATATTTTAAAAGCTATATTTCATTGTTTGTTTTTTTCCAGTTATCAAGCAGACATGAAAAATTATCTTCCACTCATGTTTCTTGGGTTTTGATTGGATAAGTACTTAATTTCCTTAAATAATGGATACTGCCTGACGTAGACTTCTCTAGGCCTCGAGTGCTGTTAGGATATACAGAACATGTGGAGTAATTATTTAAAATAACTCCAAGAAAGAAAGTTAGGAGCCTTGTCACTGAGTATTTTAAGATGCTGAGAGGAAATGTATTCCACTACGTTGTTAGCAGGCCAATATATCTATGTGCTGTTGGCCCAAAACTTAGCCCTTACAGCCAGCTGAAGACGAGACTTGCAGGCAGCATTACCGAAAATCCCTGTTGAACATGCAGGTTGGACACAAGCTTTCCCCCACCCCTCACCACGCTGATTTTCTTTATCAAGAGTTTCACAAAAGGCTTGCACTGACTATGCACTACAAAGGCTCAGCTCGAGGAAGGTCACAGTTGGAGAAAGAAAAGAAAATTAAAGCTCCCTGAATCAGTTTGAGCTAGTAGTGCTCTCCCAGCACAGTGCAGCTTTGCATCAGCGCGAACAAAGAAGCATGGCCCCTTCGTGACAAGGCACAAGGAGATTTTTCTGTTTCCATCAACACTGTTCCCTCCTTCATCTCCTTTCTGTCTGCTATCTTGTTTCTGTTTTTGATTTTCTGCTATCTCCTTGTTTAACATAGTCAACTATATAGTACTATTTTAGTAATTTTGATTTCATTGCATTATGGTAGCATGTACAGTCTCAGCAGAGGTCTCGGGTGTATCAGCTTAGGTACCGCATGTAGTTATAATAAGATATAATATCCCCTCTACTATAACATGGGTTATACCTTTACTGACAAAGTTAGTCATAATTCTCCTAGTGGGAGAGTGCGGCCTTGAGTTGTGTCTTTCACAAAGACCTTTTTCACAGGCGTATCATACTTGATCTGAACATATGCTGTAGATCTGATGGAGCCTTTGGCTTACTACATCTATGCCGCCATATGCATCCTTGGAAAGATATTCCTACACACTTCATAAGCTGGTATTACTGAAAGAATCTCCTGGTCAATTCTCCCTACTATTTCCATCTTATGGCTCAAATATACCTTAAAAATTCCACTCAACCAACCAAGTAATAATAATAAAAAACATAACGATATGAGCAGCCAAAAATGACAAAGAACAGGGAAGATTATCCCCATCTAAAAACACAAGAATGATTTACCCATTGCTACTCGGGAAGTCAGCAAAAGAACTGGGAATTTAACTCTGAAGCCTGACACTTCACATTATCCCCTTATACATCCTGTTTCTACTTTAATAGTGTAGTGAGGATAGAAGATAGGTTTAATGCCTCTGCTTTTTTTGAAGATATAGTTGAATAGATGAAATTTGATTTGTAATGATAATAAGTTGCTCTTTCTAAGCAAATGGTACCAGTTGGCCTTCTTTTTCGTATTCTTTTACAGGCAGCATAATGATATACACCTTTAGAGCTTTGACATTCTTGTATAATATCTAAGTGTGAAAAGGAAAATGAGTCCTACGCACAGTTCTGATGAACCAGAGATTAATAATTTGCCTTTGAGCAGCCAAAACTGTTACAGTTGTTGCTAGCAATTTAATGGGACTATATCCTTGCTAGTTTATCAAGACTAATTGGTAGCAGGCAGCTGATTATCCTGAAGAGTTGGTAGAGATAGATACTGAGGGCAAGGCAGGAGTGAGTGGTGTTAAGAGCTTTAGAAGATGAGAGGGATGTCATTTCTAATGTGTTTCTAGATGCTGTATGTATAAAGAATTGTAGTCAAATCTCTTGCTGCTGGTATCCTCAGGAGAAATTTGCAATTGTGCATCTGAAGTCTATTTTTAATCTAGATAGTACCAGCTGGTGAGGGTGACAGTTATCCTTATGGGGCTAGAGGGAGAATAAAGGAAATTGTGCATTAGAGCAAT